TCCCCCAATTCCCCAGCGCTGTTCCCATCCCCCCAATTCCCCAATAAAAATCTTTAAAAAAAAAAAAAAAAGAAGGGCTTGTCTATATTTAAAAAAAAAGAAGAAGAAGAAAGGAACCTTAGAAGTCACCTGGGTGACAAAATAGCAGCATGTGCACTGCCCCCTTTAAATTTCCTGGCCACCGCAGACATCACTAATAGATCACAGCACTGTTTTTAGCTAAAGCCTGGAGAGGGCTCACAACCCTCAACACAGAGCTCTGGGCAGCCACTACCAATCGATCAGAGGTGACATGAGAGGGGAGATTTATTTGCCATCACTGTCAGGTTTTAAAACTGAAAGTTCAGAGAGGTGTTGTAAATGTGGCATTTTCAAAACCCAGCCTGTCTGACTCCAAAACTAGCACTCTTTTCACCATGTCCTACTAAAGTACTTTCCAGCACCAATACACAGTGATTCTAAGTCACCCATCTCCGCCTTGGTGATGGCAACTTTGGAATGGTTCTTTACCGAGTTCCCAAGTGCTGGTTGGTAGTCCAGCGGTGCTCACTCTTTTTGGAACACACTCAGTTCCAACCAGCCTCCCCGCCCCAGCCACCTAACTGACCCCTGGAGGAAGTCCCCACCCCCACTAAGGCCTGGTGACTCCTACCCATTGAAGAATGTGCTCATGGAGCATGAGTCCCATCATAGTTCAGCTCTCTTGTCAGCTGAGCACCTCTCCCTGCCTAGCGACCCTGGCACGAGGCCAGGCTCACAAGTGCCAGTGAGGCATGGCTAACTCTGCCTCCTCCATGACACTGGCCTCCAAGAGAGCAGATGCTGGCAGCATTATTGTACCCTCATCCCCCACCCCCCAGGGTGCAAAGGGGGAGGCCAAGGTTGTCGGGGAGCATGACCTCCCCTTGCTGCGCTCACTCGCCTTCTCCTTCATCTTCTCAATCTTCTTCACGGAGCTGCGGCGCTGGGGCCGGTCCTCAGCATGCCGGAGCAGGTTCATGCTGAGCTCGCCCGCTTTGTTGAACTGCTTCTCCTCCTGCTTCTCAGCCTCCTTCAGCTTGCTCTCTGCACTGATGCTCTCCGCGTGGTACATGTGGTAGGTTTTCATGACCTGGGGACACACAAGTGAGCAAATCAGCAGCCTGGCAGGGCCCGGGATGGGTGGCCCTAGAGCTCCCAGCCCCTCCAAGTTCTGCACTACAGCCTGCTGGGCCTCCCCCTCCCCACAGCACGTTCTGAGCTCACACAGCTCTTCGCTTTCCCACAGAGCCATCATCATTCTTATCATCACCATCCTTACTGAGTGCCAGGAATGGACGAGTAAAGAGGAAATTTAAAAGGGCAACCATCGCCCCGGGCATTTGGGGGTCTCAGAGATGAGAGGGCAAACTTGGCCCTTCCTCAGCTGCCCTCTCTGGCCTGCCAACCATGACTCTTGTGTCCCTCTCCCCATCCCCCAGTATCACTGAGAAAGGCCGTCCTCAGGTACTCATGGGGCTTCCATGGGAACATCCTTCTTAACTCACATACAAATTGTTTTCTCAGCTGTTTCCTTAAGTAAAATTGGCCTGCAAATGGCTCTGTCCCTGAAAGGAGTATTATTGAATAACCCAATAGATATTCCATGCTCTCTGAAATAAATTCATCCTTGGCTATAAAATGAATTCCCGTAAAGCGAATTGCTTTTGCTACTCTACTTCCATAATAAAAGTTGGATGTTGTTATAACAAGGGAATTTTTGAGTCAGAGGAAATCTTAGATGGCATCTTATCCAACTACTGAGTTTTATAAATAGGGAAACTGAGGCCCAAAAGAGCAAAGTGGCTTATCCATGATCATACGGTCTTTTCAGCGTAGTCTCCAGACTTTACATTTTGTGTGGCCAAGTCCACAATCAAGGTATACAGCCCTTCCATCACACCAGGAAGATCCCTCGTGCTCCCTTGCCTTTGAACCCCACCCCTTACCCTAGCCCTAGGCAATCCCTGATTTCCTTTCTGTCACTGTACATTGATTTTGTGTGTTCTATAACTTCATATACATGGAACCACAGAGTATAAACTCTTTTCGGTCTGCCCTCTTTCGCTTAGCACATTTTTTCAAAGATTCTCTCATGTTATTGCATGTATCAGATCTTTTTTGTTGCTCAGTAGTACTCCATTGCACTGCTATACCCCCACTTGCTTATGTAGTCACAGGTTGATAGTTACTTGGGCTGTTTACAGCTTTGTAAAGCTGATATGAATGTCCACGTACAATTCTTTCTATGGACATGATTTCATTTCTCTTAGGTAAATACCTAGGAATAGCATGGAGAGTCCTATGGCAAGTGTATATTCAGCCAAATTAGAAATCTAGTCTCTGACTTTTAATCCACTACTTTTTCTACCACGTCATACTGTTTCCTTAATTTATTGCAATTTTCTCAGCAAATGCGCATACTCTTGGCAGCCTTGCAGCAAGCTGGGGAGTCTCATACCAATAGTATTCTGTATCCTGGCCCCCAACTAGAAGTACATATTTCCTTCGCAATATCAAGTTTATGATCCTCTTTCTATGCTAAGAAACATAAGAAATTTCTGGAATCCATGGCTCCTGAGTTTGTTCGTTTTCTTCTTATGTTGTTTGGATAATGATAGCAGCTAATAAAGCAGAGGCTCCCACCTGGAGACGGGATAGGCTCCTGCCTAACCAGGCCCTTTAAAGTCAAGAACTTGGAATAAAATGCTGGCCAACATTATAATCTTATTCACTCTCATTTAAAAACCAATGAAGTGAGTTTATTAGAAAGAATTCTTCTGTGGACTCTTATTGTTATATCACAGCATTGATTTTTGTTCAGAAAGTTCCCTTCGCCAGAGGTCAGGAGTCAGTGGGGGCAACGTCAATTGTAGAGTATGGCCGATAAGAATATAGACCCTGGTCACAAAGTCTGGGCTGAGTCCTGATGCTGCCACTTACCGGCTGTGGGACCTTTCTGACCTCTCCTTTTTCATTGTAAAATGGGGACAATGGCACATACCTGACAGGTTTGTTGTGAGAACTAAATGAGTTCATTTTTGCACAGCGCTGAGAACAATGCCTGCCACACAGTACGAGCCATTTAGGCATTAACTGCTACCATCACCACCATGATCACCTTCCCTGAGGGTCTGAGAACTTCTAATTCACTTGACTTCAGGGAAATGTTTACAAACTCTAGAGAACATCAACTATTGTGAAAAAAAATTGTTCTATACCATGTTTCTCCCTCCTTCTTTCATCCTGAAAACCTCCTAACATTGCAAAATAATAAATTAATAAAAAATGCAATCAATTTTTCTTCATGGGTCTTGGTGGAAAGAACTCTTCTCTGCATTCCACCCAGCTTTGCTTATTTGCAGTTGCCCTAAAACCTCAAGAGATCCACTTCCTGCTGATTGAATCCATTCTTTTATGGCAGTTCCACTAAGCTTCTTTACAAACTCAAGGGACCAGAAATTGTGCTGGATTGATACGTTCTCGACATCTAGTGGCCAAAAGGAAGGACTGCAGGCTTATAGAGAACCAAAGCAGTTGCCTATTTTCAATCATCTTCTTTATGCCGTGGCTCCAGGAAAATAATGCAGCTAAAAGTTGGGAATGCCTGCTGAAGTCTGTCTCCAGGGCCCCCGCCTTCCCTGTTCTCGGAGCTTCTCTCTATCCCTCCACATTCACAGATACCACAGGTTCCTTTGCTTCTCCACCATGCCGCTGGGGGTGTTCATTTCTGGACTCCACTGTTTTCTGCATTCAAGCATTCCTGATGCATCCATTTATTTCTAGTTCAGTTGCTAAGGTCTGCTTATCTCACCACTAATCTATCATCTGCATTGGGTAGTTCAGAGGAAGAGAGAGCATTTCTACTTTCAGCCAGATCTTCTTGTCTAATCATCCATGCACGCATCCATCTACTCACTCAAGGACGGTATCTCAGCTGGGTGTTCTCAGCCTCTCACATTTTCCTTTGCCTAATTTTCTACTCTTCTTAAACCACAGAACACTTTTCCTGCTCTTCAACAAGTCAAACATCCCAGTGCGTCTCTGAACTGCATTTTAAAAAACCCATGTTTGGAGATGACAGCCCTGATGATGCTGCGGCCAAATGCTGTGTGATCCAATCGGTAATTCCTGATCCCAAGATTATCAATGAACTGAATCACCCAGCGTGACTTACATCCAACAGCTTCCACAAAGAGTTTACCTGGAGACTGCTCTGAAATGAGCCTAACTCACTATTTATACGCAGAATCCTCTAGATACTTTGTTTATTTGATTACCTGAAAAATAGGATCCAGCATGAAAGGCCCTTACTTAAATAACAAAACAATCTGCTTGATATTGCCAGTCCAGGGTGTGTTAAATAATATTTAAACTTATCTATTACTTCAGAGTTTGCAAACCTCTCATTTTATTATCCCTGAGGGACATTTCAGTTCATCCTTACCCCAGTCCTGGGAGGCACTGTGATAACAATGACAACAATGAGAATAGTAGCTAATATTCACTGAGCACTTACTACCTGCCAGGCCTGTCCACATAGTAACTCATTTATTTCTCACAAAAGCCCTGTGAGGTAGATTCCTGCTTTACAGATGAGGAAACCACAAAACCCCAGGGGCCCAGAAAACCTGGTTTGGAGACTCAACACTACCACCATTTGCTGAGTGACTGTGGCAGGGGCTTGTCCTCTCTGTGTCCTTCACCTGGTGAAGACCAGCTATGAGGTAGATAGGAAGATGCTCTGTAAATTTCGGCTATAAAGTAACTGGCTGACAACAGTGCTGGGCTGGGAAGGGAACAGAGGTGGATGCAGGCGTCCAGCTGGGACCATGTCACTGTGAGCTGGTCTCCAACCTAGGACCTCTGAAGGCCCCCTCAGAGACACTCACCTGGATTTATGCCTGGTGGGGGTTCACTTTCAGCCCTCCAGACCCTATCAGGAGGGTCCCTCAGAAAAAGTCTAGCACAGGCTGAGAAACACTGCATCGGAACATCTAAATTGAGACCACTATTCTCGGACCCAGATCAGTTTCATAGGTGCTTGGAAGGTCCTCCAGAAACCTTGGTATATTCATGTGTCACTAAAGGAAACTGAGGCCCAGAAATAGCAAGTGTACTGTCCAAAATCACACAGCAAGCCAGACAGCTGGGCCTTCTCAGCTGTGGACATTGTCTTTTCTGGTAATCACACTGCCTTTTGCTGTGTATGTTTTGCCTTTTGCATCTTCCCAAATCCTCAGATCATGAAAATGGGAAAGTATTATCTGCACAGCCCTTCAGACGCTCGCTTAAATGCAAAAGAAGACAAAGGCAATCTGGACGTTGACAGCATCAATAAAGGGACACTCTGGGGCGGGATAAGGGTCAGTTGTTAGAAAACAGGTTCTCAACAATGCAATCCCTGTGCACTTCCTCTGTCCCACAGGCAGGCCCATCCCTGGGCCATCTAAGGGTTGTGTGTGGGGGAGACCCTAAGCCAATTCATACCAAAGCATCCTTGAAGGAAAAGAAAAGTCTCTACATTTTAGTCTGACCACCTAAGCTCTGTGTGGCCTACATTCTCCATAGAACTTATCATCATTATCTTATTTATTAATTTTGCATGTTTATAGACAATCTCACCCCAACTGGAGTGCAAAGTCCATGAGGGCCGGGATCTTGTTCATGATCACATTCCCTGTCTTAGAGCAGAGACTGGTACCCAGCAAGTATCCGCATTTGTTTGCATGAATGAATAACAGTTGGCTGGCTGGCTGGCTGGCTGGCTGGATGGATGGATGGATAGGTGGATAGATGAATGGATGGATGGATGGATGGATGGATGGATGGATGGATGGATGGATGGATGGATGGATGGGTGGGTGGATGGATGGATGGATAGATAGGATGGAAGGCGGGGAGGAGGGAGAATAAAATGGGGGGGTACAATGCTACTGCCTTTGATCTGAGAAATATAGTTGGGGATGGGGGACAGCTATTCCTTCATTCATTAAATTTTTACTGAACAGGTCATTATGTGTTAGGTACTATACTAGGAAATACTAGACTATGGAAGACAGATAGGGTCTCTGCCCTCGCATATATACTCTAGTAGGGACACAGACAATTATACAAGCAATTATCACATGGTGTGATAAGTGCTATGATGAGGGGAGTAAAGGCACTAAAGGCAGGCTTCCTGGAGGAAGTGACATCTAAATTGAACCTTGAAGAAGAGGAGCTGTTAGCCGGTGAACAGGGCGTAGGGCAAAGGGAGCAGTATGAGTATTAAGTCCAGAAGGAGCAGGAGCCAAACAGGTTTGAGAAGCCTGGGTTGGTTTGAGCACTAGCCAATGGAGCCATTTACTTATCCTCCCCCAGCTACTCCCGCTCAGCGGACATCTGTTGTTTTTCTCTGCCTAGGATCATCTAATCCTCCATCTTCTGAAACAGCTTCCTGATTTTCTTTGAGGAAATCTCCAAAATTCCCCCTTCTCATTCTCAGTCTATGTGATTCATGGGAAACTGACACCACCCTGCAATCCTGGGGGTGGGCATGAGACCCAGGCCTGGCCAGTTAGCAACATTATGTTAATCTGGCCACAGTGAATGGATCTCATGAGCCTAGCCAGGCCAATTAGAGACAGCCCTGGGAAAGGCATTTCCTCTTTCCATTAGGGGGTGCTAAGCTGAAAGGAAGTGAGCTTGGGGTGGGGGATACCATCTTTGTCACCACATAAGGGAAGCTTGACTCATCATGAGAGCAACACAGAAGAAAACCAAACCAAAAAAAGGAGAGAGGCTAATTCCAAAGGTGGATGGATGGATGGATGGATGGATGGATGGATGGATGGATGGATAAAAGGAAGGAGAAAAGGGAGAGAGAGAGGGAACAGGATAAAATGGAGGAGATGCAGTTCTATCGCCTTTGATCTGGTGAGTATATAGCAGGCACTGCTTGTCGCAGTGGAACGAGAGCACTGGGGTGCCAACAGCACCCCCTCACCAGCTCATTTGCTGACTGCACACTGAGTCTCAGTAGCTGCCCAGAAATTCATTTAAATTGAAGCATGTGGAGCTGCCTGCCGTGGATCTAGCACTGCAAGAGGCACAGCGGCAGGCTGTAAACATTTCGAGAGTTGGTCTTTGAAGTGTCTTGTACAACCCAGATGTTCTCAGGGTGCTTGTTGAAGCAGAGGAGGGAGGGAGGGATATATTAATAAATGAAAGAAACTGGTTCTTTTTGCCCAAAAGGAGTTTAGAATCTGGGCAGGGAGACAAGAGTAAAGTATGTGAACAGACAATACAGCGGCCCCAGGCAGAGCATAGCATGTGCTGGATGCATGGTCCGGAGGGAGGGTGCCGAGACTGTGGGTCCTTTGGGGGCTGCACTGTGTTCTCCACCGTGTCCCCAGAGCCTCTGGCAGCGCTGGCACAGAGCTGGCGATCAATATATATTTGTTGAGTAAAGAAATGAGAAGGAGAGTATATGCATGCATGGGAGATTAATTGAGGGTTCAGAAAAACGATGGCTTCATGTGGGCTTCTGAGATCAAGGGTGAGTTCATATTGGTACCACTGGATGGGTAGGAATTCAAGAAGCAGCGGGGAAGAGAGGAAGATAAAGGGAACTCTCAACAGGAGAGGCAACACGGGATCCCAGCAGAGCACAATGATTACAAACAGATCTGGGTTTGAAGTCCTGCTGCACCCCTACCGAGTACATTTCTGCACTATAACCAGTGCACTCATCTTATGTTCCCCATTTACTCTCCTTCTTGGAGTCTAACACCCATCCCAAGTCCAGTTAGATCTGGCCTTTAAGCAGGCAGCAAGATCAACTCTTGGCCAAACTGTGATGTTCTGAAATTATTCCCCAGGAACCGCAAATCATGATCGCCTCCATCATTTCACATGGTCCTCCGAGCAGCGCTCCCTTTTCAGATGAGAACACTGAGACTAGACAAGCTATGTACCTCCCTAAGTTCCCACAGCCAGTAAGGAGCAGGCGCAGGCGTCGGCCTGTCCTACCTGACTCCAAAGCCACACCCCTTACTCAGGAGCTTTTGTGTCCATACTCCCTCCACCCCAACTTTGTGTCTTCTGCTTTCTAGGTAACACGTTCCCACAGCTGGCAGGTCATATGAATCTCTCATGAACCTTTACAAACTAGACATGCCCAGGGCCCCACCCCAGTGTACAGAATGAGAAGTTGGGTTTGCGAGTCATTACATCCCACATGATGACCCACAGTCACTCAGGCACATGACACAGCAAAGAGGCCCGGGGTCCTCCTAGACCTCTGGGTCGCCTCGCCAGCCCTGGGCACTGCAGAAAGGGGACCGGGTCTCAGCCGGCAGCAGAGGCTGAGCAGGACTTACTGTGTAGAGCTCATTGGTGACCTTCAGAAGCTCCTCGTGCATCTGCAGGCCAATCTCCTTGCTCTGGAACATGGAAGAGCAAATGTCAGAGGGGAAGAAGGTGGCTGGTTGCACTGACCAATTTCCTTTTCAACACAAACAGGGCAGGAATGTTTGGGGTGGGGTGGGTGGGACGGGGAGCAGAAATCGACACAAACCTCACTGATCTAGACTTGCATTCCTCAACTCGTGTCCATGAAAGCAATCCTCCCCTGGCCATAGAAGTTGGGGAACACTACACATCATCTCCCTACCTTGGTGATTCACAGAGACAGCACCCTATTAAGGATTCTGAGAAGCCCCACAGCCAATCAACCTATTCATCTCTCGTGAATTCTATGTGTCCTATAACTGATGTGAACAGAACATGTGACCCTAGTTCAGTGCTCATTAACATCTCATGAGAGTGGGGTTCCATAGAACACACTTGGAGACATAGTGATCTGACATCTCAATGCATCATGAGCTGCTCAGGTATATAAATAATCAGCCCTCTGGATTACTGGCAGGAAACTGAGGTCTTTGCCTCCTCTGTCAACAACTGGCCATGTGGCCTTGGAGACTTAGTCACCACATCTATAAAAGAAAAAACTTCAACTAAAGAAACACTTCCCAAAACATGGTCTGGGGGTCACTGCTAGGTGCCACACTAAAAAGGGGGCAGGGGCTGCTGTGACCAAATACACGTGGGGAAAGCTAGTTCAACAAAGGGAGCCAGATTTTCTTACTGCAGAGCTTTCCGAAGCCTTTCGTAGCCTCACATGCATGGATTTTCTGTGGTGTGCGGTTTAGTTGACCTCGATCCTGTTTCTGCAGGGGGGCTAATGTTTAGTACACTGAGAGACGCAATTCAGAAAACAATGAACAAATTTTCCTCAGGTTCCATCTAGCCTGAAGAGTCTGGGATTCTGTTTGTTTGTATTATTATTATTATTATTATTATTATTATTATTATTATTATGAATACTCTCCCTGTTTGCCTGGACAATCACATGAACTTTCCACGTTGAAAATGGCAGTCCTGACCGCTGCTCCTTGACAGCTGAGTCATCCTGCTGCTTTTCAGCTCCCTCAGCCTCAGGCGTGACCAGCAGCTCATGGGCAGAGACCAGCCTTCCTCCCGCCCCCGTGCAGGTCAGGAGCCCCTAGACTCAGTGGAAGCTGGGCAAGGCTCAACACCACCCATGGTGCCTTCCCGGGCTCCTTCTCCTCACCCACAGCCTTTCCTTCAGTTTCTGCGCCTGGAATTGCTAAGAATCTACCTGTCTGCAGGCAGCCCTTGCAGGTGCCAGGTCTCTTAACAGACAGCGAAAGCTTCAGGGCCATTCCAGAGATCTGCGTAGACCTCCTTCCAGCTCTGGTGACTAAAGAAAGGGGACCCAATCCCAAAGCACAGCAGAGTCTTAGCAGAGCTTTCTGTGCAGAGCTCACAGAAAATCTTCAGTCGCGTCCCATGCATCTACAGTGGTGCTCGATGAACCCAGCCAGCTATCCCCATCTCTTTCTATTCTTTCAGATGCTCAGCCTGTGCCTCAGTTTCTCCTGTGGACCCACCTTCTGAGATTTGCCTAACTGCCAACTCTGAACTCTCTGACACCCTCCAGTGGTCTCTTCTCAGTCCTCAGTCTCACCAACATCTCTGACACCCAAGACCCAGTTTCGTATGTACTTATGTTTATGATCTAACTTTTTGATAGGGTTCCTTTAACCATGTGCATTTATTACCTAACAACCAGCAAAGTAAAAGCAAAGAGTCTCCCTGGCTCCCAGACCCCCGCCCAGAGTCAACTGCTATTCAAAGTTTCTTCTGATACCTTCCAGAAACAGTCTATGGATATACAAGCATGCATTTGGATAGCATATGTTCTTTTTTGTTTTAACACAAATGGAAGTATTCTATACACAGCTTTGCATCTTGCTTTTTTCCACCTAACAATATATCTAAGAGATTATTTTTTCACAGCCCATGTAGGTCTTGCATCCTTCTTTTTTGACAGCTGCTTGGGATTCAATATACCAGATGTATCATAATTAATGAACCAGCTCCATAGTGATAGACATGTGGGTTGTCTCCAGGCTCCTAATATTTCAAACCATGATGCCGTGAATATCTTTGTACTTTGCCACTGTGCACCTGGGCAGAGACCCCTGGCAGATAAATTCCTAGAAGGAGCTCTGCTGAGAAGAGTCCTGCCTTCAAAACTCGCATCAGTCTTGCCTTCTCAGCCTCTGCCCCAGCCAGCTCCCCGCACACTACTGACTTCAGCTCCACTTCTCAGGGATCAGCAGCCATGTCATCATCGCCATGGTCCTCTCTCCCGGGCTCTAGCCTGTACAACCCTGAGCCCAAGTTCAGAGACCTGTATCTTCAGCTGTTGTAAAAGACTATGGTCTGGAGGTCCCCTTATCACATCAAACTCGAATTATCCAAAAGCAAACTCCTGAACTCTCCTCCATCTCCTTCAGTTTGATCAATGGGATAGTATCTTCTCAGCCATGGCAACTGGAAAATCTGGAGTTATTTTTGACGCTTCTTTTAAATCCCTCTTTCTCAATCCAATCTGTTACCGCCTCCTGCCTTCAAACTGCCCAATCCTTTGTTCTCTGTAGCAGGTGATGCTGATTCCCTTCCCAACATCCATTCTTGCCCTTCCTACTTCCTAATAGAGCTGTGAATTTCGCCCTGCATTTATCTCTCCAGCTGAGTTCTTCCAAGGACATTGACCCCATCCCAACTCAAGACGGTGGACTCTGGTATGTTGTTAGTCCAGGGGTGAGTATGTGATTTAAGTGGATGGAAGAAAAGGACTTAAATGGTTAAGAGGAAGGTTTAAGCTTTTCTACTGAGTGCTAGGAAAAAAAAAAATGGAGCCCGAGCTGCCACCAAGAAGGTGGCTTAGGACCAGAAGAGGAAGCAGCCTTGGGGGGCAGAGCAAAAGGTACTTGGCTTCTTAATAACCTCCTGAGAAACTGGCTGAACTGTATCCAGAACCTACCTCCCTATGAACTTCCATTTCTGTGGCTTTATTGGTTAAGCCATTTTAAGCTGGGGTTGTCACTTGCAGCCAAAAGCATCCTAAAAGATAGATTTCCTACCACCAGTCCCAGAGCAAACATGTCATCATGGTAGGACCCAGATTACTGAAGCTGCCCTTCAGCAAAGCCCCTGACTCTTGTCCCCGACTTTGCATGCCTGTGCCAGTGTAATTTCCTGGAAGTGTATTTCACTGTGTCCTTCTAAAGCCTCCTCAATACCTACAGGATCAAGGTCCAGCTCTTTAGGTTGACTCTAAAGGCTCTGGGTGACGAGCACAGGCCTGGTAACACAGTGGAGAGGGCTGAATTGTGGGGCCACAGAGACTAGGACTGGAGATAGGGCCTTTAAGCCATTTAACCTCTTGGCACCTCAGCTTCCCTGTCTGAAAAATAAACACCTATTACTGTCCTTCTCTGCACTTATAAAGGAAAGTGTAATGATCTTGCTTGTTTACTTGTATATTCATTTGTCATTGTTTTCCCCACTTGAACGTAAACCCCGTGAGAGCAAAGAGACTTTCTCTCTGGTGGTAGATGCTCAACTTCCCAGCTGCTTTGGAGGGCTGGCAGCAGAAAGTCCCTAGCCAAGAGTGCCTCAGGGATGGCCTCAGTGGACAAGGTGACATACTTTCCAAAGACTGACACCTCATCCAAAGATGGATCTGTGTGGGGCATAGAGGTCTGCCTCACCCATCTCAACCTGACAGCTCTGAAGATTTGCTCCATCTTTAGAACTCCCCCTAAGGCTGGCTAAGACTTCCGGTAAGGCTGCCTACATCATTGCTTGACTTCACCCTCCCTCCCAAGGTGTGGATTCCAAAAACGCTCCCTAATCATTCTGCTAGATGCTAAATGCATGTGTCCGAGTTGGCTTCCCGGGGTACCCAACCTGCAATATCTCGCTTCCCCTCTCCTCCCTGCAATGCCACAGAGCCCATCATATAGTGGGTGCTCATTAAATATATATTAGTGGAATGAATCTATGGATGAATGAAGTGACAGTTCCTCTAAGCCTTAGTTTCCTTATCTGTAAAAGTGGAATGATGTCACAGGTGTCATGGAGTCCCTATGACAATGAAAAGAGATAAAACATATGGCAGCACCTAGCATCAATGAAAAGCTTGGGAAATAGTAGTACAGGCTGAATCGATACCTACTAGATGCCAAGGACAAGGCTAGGAAGTTGCCCAAAACAGAAAATACAAGCTGAATTTGTTATGAACTGTTCCCTTAAGAATCTCCTAGTTTGCTGAGATTGAGAGTCAAGAACCAAATAATTCTAAGGCAGGAGGCAGAAAGGGCAGCAAAAGAGTGAAAGATGAGGTGATGTGGGATGAAGTGATGAAGAGGGTGTAGGGACTACCACCAGAGCCATCTCACCTTGCATGAATGGCCAGAGACGGTATTCCAGGCAGGGGACACAGACTGAGCAAAGGCACAGAGCCTGGGAATAGGTGAAAGCTTGGTTTGCAAAAAGAGAAACCCAGCAACAGAAGCGCAAAAGATAAGCTTGAAATGGAGGCTTGGCCCGGTCCCAGAGGCTAATGGAGAGCAGGCTTCACTTAAAGTGGAACTGGGAGCCCCTGAATGGCTTTGAGCAGGAGGGTGTGGTGATCAGAGCTGTGCTCCTTCGGGAAGATGAAGATGGCGGTGTGTGAAGGGTAGATTGGGTGGGGAGAGGCTGGGGGGTCAGGTTCCTGTGTTTCCTCAATGGCACAGGCACCAGATGGAACCTGTGTGAGTCACTGCTCGTCTCCCCCTCAGCACCAAGCACGGAGCTGGCCACAGAGTGAGTGCTCAGCAAATAGTTACTGAACTGCACAGGACTCAAAGGCATTTTATTATTTGTTTTATGGTTGGGGCTGATTGGGAAGGGAAATAGTCTCAACTACAGTTCCAGAAACTACTGAATGAGGAACCCAAACCAAACATTCCACCAGGAACAGGAGGCCAAAACCCTGATAATCTCTAGCAGACCATCACACCCA